TGCACTTGCCTCCTGTTTTAAGGGTTACTGGTTTGATTATGGGGCACTCCCAGTCCACTTTACAACAGAGTGGTTGTGAAGGGTCTCCACCCCCCATTGTGATATCCCTCCTGTACCAATCACTGAGGGAACAGTAATTCTCACCATAAACACTTTAGACAATCTATACAAAATCCCTCTAATGCCAACTTTCCATGATCCTTTATGAGCATTTCTCCAGTGTTATATTAAATCATAATATGGAATGTGTTATGGATGGCACGATTAAAGTTACAGGAATACATAAAGAACAACAATACTGTACTGTGCTTAATATTTTCCATCTGCCCCTGACTGTTAACCACTGTCAGGTATGGGAGGTAGACTTAGTCCAATCAGTGCTGCAGCATTTTCTATCAACTGGTAAGCCTGTGACTTTAAGATTATCTTACAGTAATATCCCCTTTCCCCATCCTGTCACAGTTTACGCACTTCACAGTGAGGCCAGAAAACAAAAATCTATGTCATAGAAGGTAATAACTGAGAGCAGTGATCATGGTAAATTCTTTGATTACATTTGTGTTCTTGTTTCCCTGATTGTACAGTATTTAGATTGATTTCCATCAATTTAGAAGAAAAAAAAATCAAGTCAAATCCTTACACTATCTTGGGTCAGAAATCATTCACTTGTTACCACAGAAAGGTTTAAAGTCTAATGTGATTTTTATCAATATTCATAGACTTGCTTATAGAGTACATAAATCTTGTATCACAACCCTGATTAAAAAATGGATTATAAACACTATAACTCTTCTCAAATCGTATCACCACTGAGCCCTAAACTTATCATTTACAAATATGTACAATACATTCTTCATAAAACTTATCATCATGACTTGAACAAAGAACTTTTAACAAACTCTTTAAACTTCAATGCAGATAAAGGCATACCCTTATAGCTCCACAATCAGGAGTAATTTGTGATTAATGCCAAAAGCAATTCACTTTACAATGATGAATGAGTTAAACATGGGGTTTATATTGTTATATTCACCGAGTTACTTCAATAATGTTATGTATTCTAAAGGCAATAACTCAATTATTTTTCCAACAATCACTGTACTGGATACAAAAAAAGAGATCTTTTTACTTTTTTCTCTAACATCATATACAGGTACAGTTAACATGTGCCAGGGGTAGAATATTTCGAGCAGTTGCTGAATGAAACATGAGAGGAATGAAACTACATACTGTATCCTGTTTGGGACATAGTGTAATGAAAAGCATTTAAGTGAAAGAGGATAAAATAAAGGTAAAGAAAAAGTGAGACAAGCTTAAGAAATGGAAAGGCACCAGGAATACTGTACATGAAATCACTATGGAAGTGATCAGGGAAAAAGATGGAAATTTTTCAAATAGAAAATTGTGTAAAGTTATGCTGGACAATGGGAATAGTACCAAATGAATGGCAGAAGAGCATGTATAGTTCCTCTTTACAAAGGGGAGTGAGAAGGATGAATGAAAAAATATAGGGAAATACAATAAGTGTGTTAAATAAACCAGAAGAATTATAAAGTAGCAATAATTTTGAAATGTAGTACTATGCAGTAATTGCATTTTGTCACACAATGAAGGAATTACCCTGAACTCCCTTTTTATGAATGAATGAGCACTGAGAAACTCTGTATATTCATTAAATCTAGATATCATAACCCCAGGCCCAAGGACTCTTAACTTCTGACTGGGACCTAAAAACTGAGTAAATAGGATAATCAGATAATCCTTCACCTTCATATCAATGTTGAAAAGGATATTCACTTAGTGAAGGCGTGAGATTTTTGCTATGGGCATAAAATAAGAGATTTCAATTCTTTCTTTCACTGACATCAATTACGAAGCTCTCAAACCTGATCAACCACACCACAACCAATTCACCTCACCATCCAAAAGGGAGAAGGGAGGGATAATAAGTTGTTCTGTCCTGACCTGCTTATACAATGGGATCAAGGATTTCAGGATCAATCCTTCTTTTATGACCTATGACAAGATCTGGTTAGTGTGGTAACCAAATCCAGCAAGAAAAATGAGAATCCAGTGACTGACACAAGTTTTATGCTTGAATGCATTAATGGAAAGAAATGAAGGATTAAACTTTGAACTCCCCTGAAACAAAGAACCAACATCTGCCCTAAAAGGTAATTAGATATGTCTTTGTTGAAAAACAACTCAGAGTTAACCTGAACTTTCCTGCTGACATGTCTACCCTAAAGTCTCACGTCCCTTTAGTGCAACTACTGTACGTAAAAGAAGGTACTGTATGTTACAACCCCACATTATAACCACAGCCGCTTCAGGAACTAACATCATCGTTCTTCACCCATTAATAAGCTAAAATATTCTTAAAACATCCGTAAACACAATTGAAAGGACTGATAAATGGGATACCTGTACCAGATCTCATTTTCTTCCTCTGACCAAGATATGAAATCAGAAGTCGAATGAGATTTGAACTGAGGTGAACCAGACAAGTAAAACAAACTCTACTGAGACAGAAAAGTCACAAAATGGTAACTTTTGTGAACTGTCTCAGCTTCAAAACCACAAGAAGCAAATAGGAAAGAGGAAGGAAGAGAAATACCTGATATCTGATATACCTGATGGGGAATTCCAAAGAGAAATTCAAATGTCTGTTTATGGGTTTGCAATAGTGTATACTGTACAAAGATAAAGTTAATAATGAATATGAACTAAATGGGAGATGAAAAAAGCACAGAAGGGTGACATGTAATAAATGTTAGTTTAAATGAAAACAGAATGGAGAAAGCGAAGATTTTTAAATCTCTAGTTGATGGATGATGGCAAATGATGGAAAAATCTGAGTATGCTCCTGGTTCTGGCCACCCTGCAATGCAGCAAGACAGCTTGCAAGAGTATAAAACAATAGAAAATATATCAGGTATCAATTTACAGAAAAAAGTTAAAAGTTTGTTATCTACCTATCAGTCACACTAATGACTCTTTACAAATGAGAGACTGAACCTCAAGTCTATTTGCTAACCCAGCCAGGATTATGCCATCATGTATACTGTATTCAGCAAATCTATGGGGACCGTCAACTCAAGTTGCATGACCCAAAATCCTATGATTGAGGAAAAAAACCCTAAAAAGGGTACAATTGGTCTGAGAGTTACTTCCACAAGGAATAGGTTGAGTCTGTAGCAAAAGTATAAGTACTTGAGCCTATTTTGTTTGGGCTTGGTCAAAAACAACAAAGCAGGATCATGACTTCATTCCAACTACCTAAGCCAGCTATAACAGGAAAACATGAGAAATTAAATAGCTCCAAGTGTTCAAGCAGCACACAGCACTGCATCCCACACAGCCACACTGATCATGTCAGTAGTACATTCTATAGAGGTTAATAAAGGATGTAGACTACACCCAACCCCTTTTATTTTTAATAAATCTACGGAATATACCTTTCATGAAAGTAAAAAAGGGACATGTAATATACCTGAGGAACAATGCCAAGTTGTGATATCTTAAAAGTCTTAATGGAAACTTTACCCTTGCAGCCTACACCTAAGAATCATGTAGAAAAGTAATGATTGTCAAAGAAGGTGATCCAAAGCCCTGATGTTTTGTGAATAACCTTCACAAGGCAAACTGAATGATGTGATAAGAGATAAGTTTCTTGGCCTAAGACCAGGTGTTTATATTTTTTTAAATTCAAAGTTGGTCAGTTTTCAGATTCCATAGACTGGGCCCCCTATGTTCTATTAACAAACACAAGGAGACACAAAATAACCTTTACAAGGTTATATCATACAAACCCTGAAATTGGGATACCCTGTGACTCCCCTCCCTGACATTCTAAACAAGTGAGCCTGAATCCACAATCTGAACTCCACTCATTTCCTTTCGGAAGCCCAAGCCAGATATCCCTATTCTGGATACAACTATTTATCAACAGGTAGAGCTACTCAATGTGAGTAAAGGCACATTGCTTAGTTATGAAGACCCATACATCAACACCCTAGCTAACCCCAAAACTTGGTCATAACAAGTGTAAACACACTTGCAGTATGAATCACAATTTTCCACAATACCTATTACTGAGTCTTAGAACTGTGTGACTGATAATCAAAGATGATAAAAGTGCAATATGCAATTATGGGATAACATTTAGCTTCCACTATGAGTAATGAGTTGGAATATTGAAGCTGTGGTGGTTGACCCACTTCTGTTGTTTTGTAGCCAACCAAAAACAAAGTAGGACCGAGAAACATACTATAACTGTTTACGGGATGGCATAGACCTTTAACCTTCTCCCCCTATGAGGAATTGTCAAACCAAGTGTTTCCTTTTGGAGAAGCTGGGATGATTGGAAGGTTCACCCTATATTTAAAGCTATCAGGTTTTTTTTATCTTTAATAGCAAGTTTCAGGTTCTGGAACCTGACACCTCATAGTTTGAAATGATTTGCCCAACACTGATACTTGGTTAGAAAATAACTTACATAACCCAATTACTAAAAAAAAAAAATAATGAGTGGAAAGTAAGAGGTGAGGTATCATTATTAAGTCACTGTTTCAGTGTAATGTTTATCTAAGTTGTATTCTTCATTCTTTGATAATTAGTTTCTTTACTATCAATATTTATTTATCACAGGCAGTTGCAACAACACTCCCCAGACTAAATATACTTTGTAAGGATATTTTCAATGGACATAGTTAACCTTCCTGATTCAAAACTTTTAATTGTCTTTTATATCATGTTTGGGAACAGGATATATATTATCCAAAGCATCATCTAGTCAATTAGTAAAAGTTTCCTTGCACATTTTTTTTCTCTTAACTAACAACTCAAGATATAGCCACATCTGAGCATATACAAATTAAAAAATACTGTACTGAACATGACTTGTGACATACCACACATCTTATGAAACATTCTTGAGCAATTAAGTACTAGATGATAGGGTGAAGGATATACTGTAGGGTATAATGTGATCACTTCACCTTACGAGTTTTTGGGTGAGAAGTCGAGGGCTCCTGAACAGGAAGGCCTAAAACCGTCCGCACACTATCGGGCACATTAGGTGATGATGCAATCTGGAGATATATTGCCTCTGCTTTTTTCAAGGTAGCATCCAAGTCAATGCGTAATGATATATCATTGATATGCTGAAAAAAAAAAGAAGTTATTCAATCTTTTAAAATTAACAAATACTGAATATATGTATACATACACACACACACACACAAACACAAACACACACACACCCGACCATCGTTTTATGTGTACTTGCTCTATGCGAATTCAAAATTATGCGAGGACCCTACTTCTATCTACATTTCACTTAATGTGAAACATATTTGCTATTATGCATTATTTGCAAGATATGGAAAGGGGAAAACTGGGGATGAGGTGGACTGTGAGATGGCATGTTGCCATTTTTCTAATGTTATAGTTTTATACAGCGGTCCCTCGGTTAACGAACGCCTCGGTTAATGAAATTTTGGTTAACGAATTACCTTCCATAAGAATATTCAATTCGGTTAATGAAAAAATTTCGGTTAACGAATTCCTTACGAATTCCTCTCAGCATGTTTTCGCTTGCTCACCAGCTGGAATATTAGTCCGCCAATACAGTAATCGGTTCTAGGGCTTAAATTCATTCCCATTTGAGTAAATATCAAGAAGGTTGTACTATTCAACAATTTTCCAAGTTTTATATTAAAATTTTTAGTCATTTTAACAATTATTTAACATAATTGAAGTACAGGAAAAGAGTTTTTAGTGCGCCAAACTGCCACTCAACTCACCAAACAGGCGTCAGTTTGTATCTCTGGTCAGTAGAGGTAACATCTTGCTTGAGACTCTCTTGAACATAAACTAATTTTACGTTTTTACAATTATTGATCATTCTGAAATTTATTTTACCTATTGACAATATATAATGCAGTGCAGTGTTGATTTAAAGAAAATAATCTTGAATTACACCTACCGGTAGTGAACTTAAAATTTTATGGGTGAAATGACGGCAAGAAGCATGGGGTGATTTCTCTTCCACCCCCACTTCCTTCTCTTCTCCCTTCTCCTCCCCCACTTCTAATTCCCATCATCATCATCATCAACCAGACGCCTTCTACATACACACCTCAAAGTAAGTGTACCTTATTGCATTTATTTTTACTTTGTATGTAATTTTCGGTGAGCTGGAACCAATTACCCAAAATCCCATTGAAACAATAGTTTCGGTTAACGAAATTTTCAGTTAACGAACGACCTTCTGGAACGAATTGTGTTCGTTAACAGAGGGACCACGGTAATATACTATTTTCTTTACTTCTAAGACACATGAGAGTATTGTATTGATTTTTCCACAACTTTCATAACAATACTCCACTGTTTTACTGTGTCTTTGTTATGAAAAGATGCCAGAAATTGTTGTGGAACACATCCCTATTTTCAAAGGACTGCAATCCCCCAAAAAAAAAACACATGCACACAAAAAATAAATATATATTCCTCTACGACTTAATATTCTCTCACTTCAATATTAATTATATCATATCAAAACACTTTCTAACAAACAATAACTCACTCTCAGTAGTTGACCAGATTAAGTAAGTGATAGAGAAATAGAACTTTGGGAGGTTGAGACTCCTAGATGCCTGTATCAGCACCACAGCATCTTATAGTTCCAAAGAAAATATGATATTTTTTGTAACTTCAAGGTTTTCTTCTGAAAATTAATACACTACAATGAATTAAAAAAATTGGGGTCTTCAAAAATCCTTAAATTGAGTGTCTGCAAATTGGGGTCTATCTAAGCATAACTATCAGATTAAAACACTAATAAATGAATATACAGTATACAAAAATACAAACTTTTAAGATTTCAGTGAATCCAAATTTGTTCTCCATGATTGTGTTTTTCTCTGTGTCAAGAAGAGCGACAGCCACCAGAAGATGAAAGTTTGGGCACGGATGACTAGTCCACAACACCTCCCATAGCCTGGTTAAAGAGGATCAGTATTAAAATTATTAAATCTAATTCTAGATATCAAATATGATTTGTAGAAAATTGCATGTGTTGACCATGACTGCATCTTTAAATAGACAATGAGAAAATTAGGGGTTGAAGAGTGTCTTGCTTGAGTGGTTATGAGGTGAAAGGTGAGGTTCATGAAGGGTGTTCTGAGCCCCCTTCAAGTTATCGTGGTGTTATAGGCACTATTGTAAAATTTTAGGACTGATTCTCCTTGGGAGTTTTTGTATGACTATGACTTAGTGTAAACAGCAGACAGTATTGAAGAGGTAGCAAAGAAACTAAGAAACGGAAAGAGAGAATAGAGTCACGGGGTATAAAAGTGAATATGGCAAAGACCTGTGGTGGAAAGTGGAAAATAACCATGTGCTGTTTGTAAGAATGGTTTTGGCAGTAATTCAATAATGTACACTGAGTGTGGAAGGTGGGTTCACAAGGTGTGCAGTGGCATAAATGGCAGACTGTAAGATGCTTCCAACTTTAAGTGTGATGGAAAAGCTTAACATTGGGGCATATCTTTGTATTTTGTTGATGATTTCTGCCACTTGGGTAACTTGATCAGTGATAGAAGTAGTGTTGAAGCTAGCTCAGTTGCAAGAGATGGATGTGGCTGAAAGAAACTTAGGAAGCTGCTGCCTTTATTGACAACCTTTTCTTGCTGTACTGTTGTGTGGTAGCTAAATATGGGCAGTGAATGAGAATGACATACTCAGGCTTGTTTGAGTTAAAGTGATATTGGTGAGATGGATGTATAATGTAATACTGAGATATAAGAAACCCTGTTCAGAACTAAGAGGGAGTATTGGAGAAATTTTGTGAAGTAGACTGAGATGGTTCTCACATGTGGAGAGAACAGAGGAGACCAACTGGGTCAAGAGATGCATACATTTGAATGTGGAAAAGAGGAGAGCTAGGGGTAGGCCAACAATAATATGGGAAAAGGTTGTGATAAATGAACTTTTAGATAAAAACTTAATAAAACAGGCTGCAAGAGATGTGCAGTTTAGAAAGTTGCCATCAGGTAATCATAGCCAAGCCATGCAACAGTGATGATGATGTGTGACTATGGAGAGGAGACACCAACTATTCTGTCCAGCTGCTAAACAATTAATGACTTGGTGAAAACATTAGGGGCATCAGGGAATCATTAATGCACCACCACTTATTCAGGTGTCACAGTTTGTGATGGGAATAAACTTTAAACATATATTTACCTTATAACTGAACAAAACAGCATGAAAGAAAATTCAAAACTAGCCAGAAGATAAACACTAAGGCACATGATGGTCATGTAAAAAGTGAATGCCTGGATCATCTGTAAGAGAAATAGGTAATAGAGTATTTGTTAAATACAATATAAAACTGAAAGCTCACCTTAATGTATTTGTATAATTAAGCTCCCTCTTAAAACGGACAAGAAGCCAACGGAAACAGAAATAGAAGTTGGCAGAGTCTCGCACTTCCAGATAAGACATGAGTTCTGGGTCAACCAAATGTACAATCTGGTGCACATCCTTTAGTTGTTGTTTCATTCCATACTGATCTATGTCAAAATTCCTGTACTGGTGATTAAAAAAAATAATTAGCATAAAACATTACTGCCATCAACTGAATTTTTTCATAGTACAGTGCTGTAGCTTCACTGTTGATGGTGTCTTCACATTCCTGTTCTGATGATGACATTTGGAAAAAGGAATTGGACTGTATTCAGAACTTTGCAGAGAATAAAATATTGTCATGGAGTCACCTGAAATATTTTATACATAAGGGACATTTTTTTACAGTATACTGACTGTACAATTTATAAGTGATTGATAGATAATCTGCTGAACTAGAGCAATATTGTTTTACACATAAGTTATACCAAACTGCGAAAGATTTATAGACAATTTAAGAACATTTTGATCTTACTCAGTATTAAAAAAAATTAAAACAAGCTTTAATGTGAAAATTAATACTGTACATTTAATTTAAATCAACGCAAGGACATTTATAAGAACGAGATAAAAAATTATTATTTAATTTCAACAAATATACCCAGGATTGTACACTTCAAATAAGGTGTAATACGACAATTTAATACACTCAGCAAAGTATTCTTATTATTTTCTTAAAATTTAAATTATAAATTTATTAATATTAAAAAAATAAAAATGTGAATGGAATTGAATTTAAGATGGGGAATTGTAGTCACATAATTCACAAGTGAAATGTCCAAAAACTGTGGCAAGTGGCTATGCATGGCTCCATGCAGCCTGCGATAATTTGAGTAAGGGTATCTGATCATGACATAAAATATGTGCCTTATTTAGTTTGCTGCAAATATTCATGACCATGACATAGTGGGGGTTTATAGTACATTGGTTACTGATATAGCTCCCTCACTTCATCAAAAGACCTTAAATATCAGTATTGAAATTGCTGTGTACATGAAAAAATCCAGATAAATGATTTAAGGTCTATGGCACTTTTAGAACAAACTACGTAAACACGGCTGCTCAGCACCAGGGGTCTACCATACATTCATACATTCATCTGTATCAAAATGCTTACCACAATATCCATGTATCCCACGAAGCACCAAAATGCTGTTGCTTCATTTTGTGTGACATAGAGGATGGGGGCAAGAAGGTCACTCATACCCTGTACATAGCCCAAGTCAAAGTTGTACATCACATATGTCATAAGAACATCATGAAGTAGAGTGACATTGGGGTTATGCTCGCCTTCAAAGAAAGGATGATTTCGATCTGTGCGATTCACATCTTTCTCTGAGGAATGAATTTTACATACAGTATACAACATTGTAAACAGAGCTGAGCAACATTTGACTTTCAAGTTTTAAAGTAGTATTTCAGTATTTTTACTTTATCACCAACAAAGTTTAAAAGTGACTTGTGATAAAAGACTCAAATCACAGATCACAAAGGTATCTACATATCTACTGTACTTCTTAAGTTGTTTATCAATCACTAACCTATGAGACTTCGGCGTTCTTTAAAGCCACTGAAACGACTTTCTTGGTCCTCTGTGATGGTCTTCCACTGCTGCTTCATGGTAAAGTAAAGGTTCTCTCTCTCTCTACGCTTCTCTTCCCGCTGGATGTATGTGGCATTCCAGGAGTAATGGCCCAATAAAAAACACCACAGTTCACGACGAAGGTTTGGATGGATGCCCTACAAATTTACAAACTATAAGTTTATCTATTTACAAAACAATACCTCCATTTTTAAGTAATTTTCAGGGCTCAACTTAAATACACATAAATTCACTAAATGCAGATTACTTTCAAGCTACAGTACTTTTGATGAATACATATTGAAATTTCAAGCACTCAAACAGAATGAGAGCAGGAAAAGAACACCAACTTAATTTCTTTGAAAAGATATGAATACTGTATGTGAATAAATGCACAGATATTAACTTCTGAAGGAAAATTTCATCTATATGCAAATTTACTGAGCAGCAAATAATTCCAGGTGAAAATATGTATGTTTACATCTTTCCTCTTACATTCCAGTCTTCTATCCACCAAAGATAGTCTAAAAAATCTTTGCCTTGTCTTGTCATTTTTTTTGTTTCAATAAAAAATTCTCTATCAATATTTTCTGAAGAAACATATCTATTAGTCTCTCCACATATCCATTCATTCCTAATATCATATTCATTTTTCACCCAAATTTCCATACACTTCTTTGTCACTCCATCTTGCTTTCCAGTCTCACATCACTATCATTCTAGCTCTTTTTACTGAAGCTTTCTATGCTGTGGGCAATGGAGTCTCTACATCTTAGCATCTGTTAGCATGCAAAAATCTGCTTTTGTGAATTATAAAAATATGAACAGTAAACACAAAAAAGCTAAATTCTGCCCTGCTCAGTTACTTAATATATTTACACCATATCACTGAATAGTAAACTAAAAATGTCATACAGTATATTAAAGGGCACATTGTTTTATACCTGTATATACATATCATTATTCAGACAGTAACAGCTTTTCATAAATAATAAAAATACACTTACTCTCCCCTGTGTGTGCTTGCATACGGGTATGTCTCATTCTTTATGGCATGACAGGATGTTATGTCCTATTCAGATTTTTTCAATTTTCCTCCATTTCCATAGAAGACATCTATATATCAGTTATGAGTTGTACATAAATATAATAATCAAAAGTTTGGCAAGGAGAATGAATACTGTGGACATTGATTTTCTAAGAGCTGGATTGCTCTGGAATGAGGATGGTGGATAGATTGAGGAAGTGAAGAAAGAAGCAGTGAGAGGAGTACAGTCAGCATCAACTTAATGTACAGTCAGGGTCAAAAGTCATGTACATTTAGCAATATCTGGCATCTACTTCTGAGTTATATATACAGCATATGATTGGGATATACTAATAACACTACTTATGCTTGAATCACAAAATGGGATAAAACTCTCCTTAATACCTAAGATCTTTGGGTACTTACATGCCAAATACTGTCAAGTTTTCAAGACTTTTAACCCCTACTGTACATCAGCAGATATGTGTATTTCATAAATGTACTACTGTACATGTCCGATCTGACGTAGGTACGTCCACAGATATAGATACTAGTCGACCCTCGTTAATTCGGACTAATAGGGGGGAAGGGTGTCTGTTTTAGCCGATTGTCCAAATTAACCGATTTAGGGGTTAATATTGCATAATATTTCAAAGAAAATGCAGTGAGTTTGTCCTTAGCCATGCATATGTCCGAAACTGTTTGCTTTTTAACACCATACTGGTCACAAACTCTAGCCACCGAAGCACCAGCCTCTAACTTCCTTATAAGGTCCAGTTTCTGGTTCACAGAAATGGTCACATACTTCCTCTTCAGCGTATTACTCCCTCTTGAAGACATGATGTAAAATACAAGGCTGAAAGATGCCTAATCACTGAAATATCAACGAAAATTGCAGGGTAACACAACACTGATACTCGAATATGGCGCTAAGTCAACAATGACTGGCGGTCTGGCGCACCATCTATCGGACAATCCCAGAACCAGAAATTTGATACAGACAGTCCCTCGCTTAGTTCAGATTTTGTCCGAATTATCCGAAATCCGGATTAAAGGGGTCCGAATTAACGAGGGTCGACTGTATTGTACCTGTGCTGAATCTGACCACTGTCACAGACTTGCTGATAATCATTGCTTGCTGCATGTAATTTGTTTAAATAGTATCGCTTGGGATGTGTTTACAGTGCATTTTGTACTGCAACCACAGCTGGTGGTATTAACCTTGATTGGCAGCAAAGGATTCCCCACCCCCCAACATGCACAAAACAGAATGCACAGAACATCAAACCCCCACAGATGATGGCCACCATCCCTATAGCTAACTTTCACCAATGATGGCTGCCATTTAAGGGTTAAGGATTTCGTTAATCAAAGTTTTGTTTGTTAACCGAATTGAAGATGCTTATGGGAGGTAATTCGTTATCCGAAATTTTGTTAATCGAATCGTTCGTTAACCAAGGGACCACTGTATAACACGGGAAATGCCAAGATATATAAATTATCTGGGAAAATCTCAGCATATCTGGCCACCTGCATCACCTACCATGCCTCTGTCACTGACCATGCCTCTGTGTCGCCTACTACGATGCTTCATTCTTCACTTGCAGTGCTGGTAAGTGTTACACATATATGGGTCGATAATTTTTTATTGTTCTATTTTTGTAGGAATTTGGAATAACTCGGCAAGGCCAGAGCCCCATATGTGCCGAGTTATCAAGGGTTTACTGTATACATTTTGTTATGGTGTAAGTGGTGACAGACAGATTTTGTAATTGACTAAGAGATAGATACATACAGAGATAGAGAGAAAATATGATTCACTTCATCTTAATGGATACTAAACACCAGGAAACAGTGACTTATAGATAGTACTGTAAATATAGAAAGGCCTCATAGAAATTTTGAATCAATTTTGAAAATAAGCAATACAAATATAATTTACCCCTTTAAAAATCCGCTGCTTAAGTGGTTCAACATCTAAAACACGACCATCATCATCTACAAACTGCTGGAAGTCATCATGTGTAAGGGGGGCTAGTCTGTCAACATCTGGCCGCTCAGCGAGTGTCCCCTTCTTGGTTAACAACTCAAATCCTGCAGAAGATATTATGATAATGAAAAAGAAAGAGCATATATTTATAATAATTTCAATGATGAGATATGCTACAGGTATCAACCAAAAAAAAGTTGAATTCATTTTTATAAAAGGTTTAAAATGCACTAATACAATACAGACACACAAAAAAATGCCATATACAGTCTGCGCGGAATATTAAATCGCGATAGGGCCGACGAACTAAGTTCTCCCAAAAATAAGATCATATGTTGTGAAGGCTGTCCTGGGATGCGAGATGTCAAAATGCTTGGTTTGCTGGCAAGTGGTGACATTTGGCAACTGAGAACACGTCACGGCTTGTAGTCAGTGCGCCTCTGGCAACTGTGAGGGGAAGATTTATTGTGCGGGTTCCCGCGCCATGTGGCCATGTTTTGTCTGGTTTAAGGTGCATTAACCCGACATAGAGATGTCCAGGAGGGTTACTACAAGAGACGATATTGCAGCAGTGATTGCATTGTACAAAGCGAACCATGTACTGAGAGAAATTTCGGCTCAGACTGGTGTGGCATTACGAGTTGCTCAAAATCTTGTCAAACGTTTCCGTGACCTTGGAGAGGACGAGTTGCCAGCTCCATTACCTAAGTCTGGTAGGCCTAAATTATTGTCACCACGGACACTTAAGGTTATTTCTCGACAAGTTCGGTCCAATCCCTCATTCAAAGCACGTGAAGTGAAAGAGAGAAACCCCCGTCTTTTGAGTCACGTCTCGTTACGTTGTGTTCAACAAGCCCTGCACGATGACCTGGGATTTAAGAGCTTTCGTGCCTGCCGTAAACCTCTGTTGACAAAGAGACAAGGAAAATAGAGTGAAATTTTGCAAGAAATATGAAGTGTGGGATTTAGAGTCATGGAAAAGTGTATTGTGGTCCGACGAGGTAACGTTTTCTGTGACTGGGAGTAGTGGAGGGAGGGTGTACCTCCCACAGTACACTGTAAAGACTGTTAAGCACCCTGCCTCGCTTATGGTTTGGGCTTCCTCTACGTATTATGGTGTTGGTGAACTAGTAATCCTCCCTAAGAACCAGATGATGAATCAGTACAACGATCTTGAACTGCTCAGTGATTTCTTACCTGAATCATTTAATAAAGCCATTTCTGCAGGACGGTGCCCCATGCCACACTGCTAAAAGTGTCAAACAGTGGCTCAAAGACTGTGAGGTACCTTTCTTTAATGACTGGCCTGGCAGTAGCCCAGAACCTTAACCCAACAGAAAATTTGTGGTCCATCGTTAAGCGTCGTCTGCGCAACGCTGACACATCATCAATCCCGAAGCTAGAGGCAGCCATCAAGGATACCTGGGCTAACTTGCCACCTGACCTCTTGCAAAACCTTGCTGACAGTGTTCCTCGAAGGCTAAAAGACTGTCTGAAGTGCAGAGGAAACACTACAAAGTATTAATTGAAGTGGTAAGTGTTACTTGACTTTATTTATATAACAATCGTAAATATCAATATTTTTTCAGCACACGATCTCACATTCCGCGCAGACTGTAGAAAGTACTGTATATACCTGGTTCAAGATCTTCCATATTCTTAAGACTATGGAAGAGTTCAGCAACATCCTCCTCACCATCAATCTCACGGACGTACCCTTCTTCACCACTGTACACTAGCATCAGATATGGAATTTGTGATTACAATCATATGAGGTATTTCCTTGCAATTTTACTCTTTGTAGATATCAAATTTTCTTAAAAGTGAACCAGGGTTTCTAAATTAATAAACATGCACAGCTATCATACTATTTAAGTGATTTCTGAACATTTCTATTAATTTAAAATCTGATATCATGACCAAATCCTTGGGAATAATGATGCATGTGCAACTCACTTATTTATTGTTCAAATTATGCAATTAATTTGCTGAAAAAAACCCAGTCTCAACAAAATCTTCAAATTTGTTGACCAATTTGGAAACTTTGAATACTGTAATGTACTGTAATTCAACAGAAGACTAGCCCAGAAGTTGTCAAATTCAAGGAGTTCAAATTACATAAAACTTAGCAGTGTCAGGATTGTCACATTTTTTTTCTGAATTACAGTACAAAATGGGTCACTACCGGTAAATATGGTAGAGAAAGTATGCAGTGGCTGAATGCATACCTTAACTTAAGGTACAGTACAGTGTATATCAAAAACATAAACTCAAAATAGGAATATGGAGAGAGAGGAAATTATATGAAGGTGGGAAGTATGCAAATATTTGTGAGGATATAAAAGGTGACGATGGGTCAATTTGGACTTAAAAGAATGCAAGATGGACAAATTCAAATAGAATTAGTGGAGAAGAATCACTAAATATATTCATGTGGTGAAAAGAATGAAAAAGGTATGCATTTTCTCATAAATCAGATTTCATGTTGTACAGGAATATTGGGAATAAGACACACGTTTGTTTATCATGTTTAATGTTAAAACCATGGTCTTCATATTAATTTACAGTATACTGTAGTCTGGGTTTACACGGATATTTTATACGCGTTTGGTCATTTACGCGGCACCTGTTCAGACGCACCAATTATTAGTTACGCGGTACATTCCTTAATTTACGCAGCAAGCGGCGGGCAACCTGCTGGTCGCTGACGTCACCGCTGACGTCAGACTCGTGCCGATGACGCCTCGGACTATGATTGGGCCACGTATCCTTACCGCCCACGCACCCCCTCGGCCGCAAGCTGTGATTGGTCTATTTAACTTTGCTTGCCCTGCCACCAGGGGGGATGAGTCGATGACCTTGACTGCGTCAGTCCCACTGTTCCAATCTCCGCGTATATAGTAATCCCTCATGCCCAGGAACCTGTTTTGTTTTTTGTGTATATCTACACAATGGCTTCTGCTGGACCCCCACCACCCCCGAGAAACCTTGAACTACCTGGCCCAAGCCGCCCCAAGCCCAAGAAGGTGAGACGCGCCTTAAGCTATGAGATTAAGTACAAGATTGTTCAGGAGTTAGAAAAAGGCACGAGGCAGGTGGATCTGGCCAGACAATATGGAGTGAATGAATCGACGATCCGCACAGTCAAGAAGGATGCCGGCAAGATCAAAGAACACATGAGCATTACAAAGTCTGTAGGTGCCTCGATAGTGAAATATTGCCACAATAAGGTGCTGCTGAAAACTGAGGGTTTATTAGTCAGCTACATGATTCGTCAGTCAAGAAGGAACATGGCGGTCGACACTCGGGCATTGCAGGACTACGCAAGAGAACTCTACCAATCAGTGGCAAGAAAAATGGGAGTTGCAGAGTCCAAGCCCTTCACTGCTTCCGCTGGGTGACTGCAAGGTTTCAAACGACATAACAAGATCACAAATATTGAGATAGTCGGTGAAAGAGCAAGTGCCGACCGGGCTGCCGCCATGAATTTTCCCCAATTTTTACGGAAAATTATGGAGGAAAGACAGTACACTGACGACCAAGTGTTCAATATGGATGAATCAGGGTTGTTCTGGAAAAATTGCCATCCAAAGCCTTTGTAGTCAAGTCTGCGAGCAAGTGTCGGAGCCGAAAAATGCAGAAGGAGCGCATCACCGTACTGTTCACCACCAATGCCTTCGGCACTTGTAAGCTGAAGTTGTCGGTGATCCACAAAGCCTGCAAGCCGCATGCATACAAGAATATGGACACGAGCAAGTTAAATGTCCACTGGCTAACCTTAGGGAAGGCGTGGATGTTCACTGGTCTGTCCCTCTCCTGGTTTGACAACTGTTTCGTTCCTGATGTGAAGAAATTCTGCGAGCAAAATGATGTCCCATTCAACATTTTGTTGCTCCTTGATAACGCACCAGGACACTCGCCCCTATTGCTGGATCGTCACCCTAACGTAAAAGTAGTCTTCCTTCCCCCTAACACCACATCGTTAATCCAGCCCATGGATCAGGAGTTGAATTGCAACGTGAAGGCTGCTTTCTCCGCAAAGAAGTTTCGGCCCCTTAACGAATTCACCAACACCAAGGATGAATTGCATAACTTAGAGAGTGGCAGCGAGAGCGAGGACGAGGATCACGAACAAGATTTGGCGGATCATAAAGTGCGAGTCAAGCAGTTCTGGAAACTGTTCAACGTGAAGAAAGCTGTTTATTTCTTGGTGGAGGCATGGGGGCATCTATCTGTGGCAACGATTCGTCACGCGTGGCGTCATGTGTTGGAGGGTATCCCAGGTGGGAGGCAGAGGCAAGCAGTGGCTGGAGAGGCTCAGTCTGTTGCTGTGGCATTGGAGAATGCAAGAGAGGCTGCACAAAGTGTTAGAGCTGCAGGCTTCTCCGAGACCACCAACGAGGACATCCTGGAGGTAATCAGGCAACCTGAGGTGACTGCAGACGAGATGTTGGAAGATGATGACATCAGTGAGCAGCCAGGTATTACAGAACAAGTGCAGAAACTAACACATGCTGATGTGAAGGAGGTCATTGAGTTTGCTGAGAAAATGAAGCTCATCCTTGCCAAAGACCCAGTCAATCATCGCTATGAAGTGTCTAATAACCATCTGTTGAAATGCCTGGAGCCCTATGTTCAGATGTATCATGACCACATCAATGCTAGCCGCCAACAAAACATTACCGAGTTCTTCACCCGCCACCCACCACAGCCAGCCCAAGTCAGTGATAGTGAGGATATGGACTTTGAGGGGGTTTGACAAGGAGGCCCCGCTAGCCTCTGTGGTGGATAGTGATACAGGTGAGGGCCAATAATCTGACCTCTACTTCAGAACCAACCCCCCATCCCTGTGTGCCCAGCCATCTCTTCTACTAACGTAAGTGTTAAAAAAAACCCTAATATTATTGATATTTCTCTTAAATATTAATTGTGTTTGCATACCATCATAAAATTAAGATGTTATTTTTACTACACCGTACGTATTGTGTCAGAAAAAGGGTAGTCTGGCGGTCGGCCCAGTCTCTATTTCAATTAATCCCATATGTTCTGTTATTTTATTTACACGTAAAAACAGTCGGTATTTTCAACAATGTTTTTACGTGCCTTGAGAATTTGCAGTCCGGAATTCATTGATGAGGAATACAAATATATATATAATATTGGCTCAAACCTTAAATACCCTAGATCTTTCATAGACAAATGCCTAAACATTACTAAGAAAACTTTTTATAGAACTGATCCCAAGCCCACCCATGACCATAAGAATATCTTAATATTACCATTTCACAAAAATTTCTCACACATTCCTTCACAACTAAAAACCTGGAACGTCAATGTGGCATTTAAAAACTCATGCACTGTTAAACAAATGTTAATCAAGAACTCCCCCAACAACACAATTGGTTGCATTTATAAAGTTCCTTGCAAGGAATGTAATATGTTTTACTTAGGCCAGACAGGTAAAGATCTTGCAACTAGAATTAAACAACACAAATACAGTGTTAGGACAGGCCAGGAATCCAATGCTCTGTTTGTTCATTTGAGGGATAACAAGCATTGCATTGACTGGGATAATGCCTCCTCAATATTACCATGTAATTCAATTGATAGTAGGAACATCATAGAATCTAGTCTCATTAAACATACCGAAGCATTCAACATGAATTTGAGTAACGGCATGTACAAGCTGGACAATTTTGTAATTAAGATGATTTGTAACCAGGTGAGAAGGTCAGGTCACCTGACCATCTGACCTGACCACCAACCGTTGTGTGCCATTTAAAGATTAGTAGGGTCATTACCTAATACCTGACCATTGTGGACCTGGTCTCACCCTCCTCTGTATATATACACCTTGGTTTGTATTTCTCTTTAGTCTGTACTCACCCCTGAAGATGTGAATTACACGAAAGCGCTTGGGAACTTCGTGTTTTCTTCTTTTCTTGTGGTTATCAGCATATATATATATATATATATATATATATATATATATATATATATATATATATATATATATATATATATATATATATATATATATATATATATATATATATATATATATATATATATATATATATATATATATATATATATATATATATACAGTAGCAACGGTATATACCAGTAACTAGTGGTAAATGGAGTGTTCTGGAGCTCAAGTATGGGAAACACGTTAATGTTCCCTCCAGCACGTTTTATAAAAAAATATTTTAATATATTTCATAAATAATTATTTCCAGTACAAACCCATCAGATAATAAGATATATAAATATAAATCTATACACTAACAGTAATTGGAGCGATCGCTTTGTCTTGAGACACGTATAGCTACGCCCGAGCTTTTGTAAATTAAACATACATATTCCCTCCAGCAGATTTTATATAAAATATACAGTACAAGGTATAGTATATCAGATTTTAATGGAAACCCAAGAAATATTAGTTTTATAAGAACACTGTATATGGAAAATTTGACGAGTTAATTGTTCCATGCATTGGAGTAAGGGGTTTTGATTATACAGTACAGTACAGTACTACAGTATAATTCTGATATACGACCTACTGTAGTTCAGCAGAGGCACTGCACAGCTGACATGCATCTCAGTGATTGGTGCCCAACTTGCCTTTATTACTCTACTTTGTGTGTTTATGTAAGGTAATTTTTGTTAGCTTCAAGGGAAAACTACATTTTTCCACACTAAAGTTACATGGGAACGCAAAAATTAGTGGTA